TCAAACCAAAATGAGAATTTGTGAAATCAACTTGTTGTTATGCTTTTTAACCTGGCTTACAAGTAGAGCTAACCATGGACCCACCTCCACGTCAGCCCTCAGTTAAGCGAGAAGCCTCGGAAAAGTAATCACAAATAGCTGGTCAACTCCACCATATGTGGTATCTGGTAGTCTTTTCTCCACAACCTCAGGAATAATGCAAATGGTGAGAACATTTGGGCTACTCTAGTAGAAGGTAGGCACGATGCCATCATAATTTTAGTGCCTGTGGTTATCTGCTAGTAATTCCCTATGTTTGTTTCCTGTGGCAGTACTGTCTTTTAATAATTTAAAGAATAGAGATAGATCAAAGTTTGCAAGACTTTCTAAAGACTTTTTAAATAAGTCTAGTTCGCTTTCTACTGTAGCAGAAGTCTATACATTAGTCTTGGAATCCTCTTGTTCATCGACAATATTGTTGGAACCAGCGGTGTCAGTATCTCCAGTAATTTTGCAGCATTCTGTTGATATATAATTCAACCGAAATACATTTATCACAAGGCCAATTTCTTAAAATAATATTCATAATATTATTGACCACTTTTGGGAGTATAAAAACTTCAAGTCAATAAACGCGCAGTGCAATACATGCTTTTGGTCATCCAATCAGCAGATAACATCCCCATATTATGTATGACTCAAAAAAATTAAATAAAAATAAAGACAACAGAAAAAATAAAAAGTCAAAAAGGATATAAGTGTGTGTTCAAAGATCACTGAAATAACTATAAAAATTAGAACAAATAAACAAAACAAAATAAGCATGAATAAAAAATAGAGACAAAGTCTTGTTGCATTCATCAGAAAAAAAATGTGTGACACTGATTACTTAAGAACATTTTCTAGTTGATGGTGGAAGTATTTTCTATAACTTAATGTAATTCTTTAGACTTAAAAAGCTCAACAACTGTTTTACATGTATTTACAAATGTCTTTTGTTTTAGAGGATTTATGAGAGTCAACGCTGCTTAAAAATGTTGCCTACAATTACTATTTTGGCTTTGTAACTGGCATACCAAAGCAGATTTTATCAACATCGATAGCATTTAGCCTAACAAGCAAAGGGTGTAAATTACATTTGGATGCCAATTACAGTTTTGTAGGCAAATAGAGTATAATAAAAATGTGGTGGTTTTTTTTTGTATTTTCATTTTTTGTTGTTGTTGTTGCTGAAATCATATATTTTTTATAGTTTTATTCTTCTCCACAAGCTTATATGTAATTGTCTCATTCTGCTTTAAAGAAATTCAAATTTACCTGTCTCTGTATCCACACGTGCAAACACAAACATACTTTTAAATATGTCAAATATGACATCTTTATGCTCCCAGAAAAGCTCATTTTAAAAGAAAGGACACAACGTGTGGCTGAAAAACACACACCATTGCACCATCAACTGCATTCAATAAAGTAGCATAAAACGGGAAGAATCAGTGAGATAATGTGGCATGTCCAAAATTCTGAAATTACCATCTGCTTGTCACAGCAGAAATTGAGATTTGCCAGACCAACAATCCTACCACTGTCAACATCAATCACGTGTCATTCCTATTCAATAATTGGTTAAACAACAAACTGATATGTCTGGATACTTTAGTGAGTTGCAGTACAATGGATTTTCTCTTTGGCTATTTTACGGAAAGAACAGGAGGTATGCATAATAAAGTAGCAACTGAGTTTATAGAGTGTGTGTACAAGTATGTATCAAAGGAAAATAAACACAAGTCATGCTACAGTACACACACCAGTAAACCCAAGCACTGTTTATTTTGTACAGTGTTACAGAATATCAATTTCTTTCTCTTTATCAACATTGAGGCAAAGTTATAAAGCAGTGTCCTCTCCTGATGCAGACAAAAGCCCACAATCAAAATAATATAAATACCATGTAAGTAAAATAACAACAGTATAAAATATACACTTTAGAGTTTAAAATCTTATTTTCACTCAGGTTAAATACAACACAATAACGTTTTGTTAAAAATAAAAATAAATCAAGTAGTTAATTAGATGTCCTTATCTGTACCTCCTAAATATTATGTGGTTTAAACCCACTAAGGACCAAACTTCTGGAATAAAAGGGAATCATGACATGTCACACATGTCATGTGTCCTTAAGGGGTTAAGCATATATTTCCAAACAATTTAAGTATTTGAGAGGTTTCATTATTAAATTAATTTGGCAGTTCAGTAGTATTATTTCACAGATTAATAGCAACGGTCCTTTAAAGTCTTTTAAAAAGAAACATACTGTAATTGACTATAATCAAATTATATGTGAAGCAATCAATGGCACTATGAAAAACATAAACAAAATAAATTCAAATGTACATTTTCATGAACTAAATGATTGTGATAATTTAGATATTACAGATAAGGTTAAATAGCGTGTGATAAGTTGAATTATTTTTAAGTCCACTATGGAAAGGTTTTCATTTTAAAGGATTGAGTATTCTAGCCATCCATAAACAACCATCTTTGCACAAATTTACCATTTAGTCTTAATTACATATACTTACTAGGTGTTTCAAATAAATGTTATGTCTATCCTTTTGTTTTAAAACTTTTATTAGGAGTTGAGGAATGTATACAAAGAATACCAGGTCAATTGTACAGAATATGCTTCATATTACACTAGGAAAAGACAAGCCGTATCAGTATATTTACCTAGGTTTTATATTTTTTATGAACATATCTCGGTGCTGAAGGTGTTAATAGAATTCCAATCATTAAAATCTTTATATGGAATAGCTCATAGTGATGTATTTGGATGTATGACATCTCATTTGTAATATATTTTCTATGTTTCAATATAGTGTATTTATTTGTTTCAGGAGGATACTGATCATAAGTATTACGCTTCTAGAACATTTGGTCCATTGGATTCTGCCAGCAGGGATTTATGGGTGGACATCGATCAAATGGAAAAAGAAAAAGTAAAGATTCACGGAATTCTGTCAAATACACATCGGCAAGCAGCAGTAAGTCTTTCTAAATATTCTTTATATAACACAAGTGAAGTAACATAAAAAATCGAACATAAATGTAACATTAATGGCTTGTAATTGCAGTTCTCATTAGAATACTTCTGCAGTGAAAAACCTGAAATGACCTCTCAAATATTAGTTGAGATATAAGTTACATATTTGTGGAACTTTAAAAAAATGAAGGGAAAGGGACAGTCTTAGCACCATATTCACTACAGCTTGAGTGGTTTGTCTCTATTTTCTGTAGACCATTTAGAACATTTTGGCAAAATCCAGGACTCTCCCAGCACTGAAAGCTTCAGTTTCAGGTTCACAGAAATGATAAACTGTAAGCAGTAGCACTGTGGACACTACACACAATAGCTTACAGCCTGTTATTGTTGCCCAGGTTTGGGAAGATGGGAGAAGAGGATTTGGATGCCCCGTTTGCTTAAAAAAAATCAAAGACTCCTTATACCATAACAACTACAATAAACCGCAGAGCTTTAGATGCTTGAGTGATTCTTTAAGCAGCACAATAAATAAAGACCCCTAAGGTCTAACTGTGGCCTTGACTAACTATCGGAGGGCAGCTCTGGACCATTTGTGATGTTCTCCAGGTTGGACCCATTGAGACAGAGCAATAAAACCTCCTGCTTTGTCATTTCCATCAATGTCATTATTAGATGCAGACGCACAACATGGAGGGAGATTAATCAAGGCAAAACAGATGCTATATTGGATTAAAGGTGCTAAATGTTGAGAGAGAAATTATGTTTGTTTCCTTGGTGATTGATCTTTATTTAGCATTTTGCACCAGAACAGAACCTTTTTGACGCTCTCCTGTAATGTCATATTCTATTGGTTTCTATGGTTATTGAAGAACAGCACCTGTTTTTACCTTTTCATATATTGCAATGTCATATCGTATTCCTCCATTCACTATAATGCACATTATAGTGAGAGCATAAGTGCACAGGTGGTTCCGTACTCACAGAATGCCTTTAGTTACCCCAGTTATTGCCACTGTGACACTCGATAGATTATGTTCTTTTTTGGAAAACCACTGTCTTTGGTGTATGTGTGTTGGAAATTATTATTCCAACAGGTCCATGAGCAATAGAAAAAATCTATTTTTTTAATATACACTTTATGGCAAAGGATGTTTTTAATGCCAATAGAAATGTATTACTATTATGTGTTGCATACATTGCCATTTACGTAACAAAGAAATATTTCATATCTGAAAGTGCGAGAGGAGAAAGTTTTCTTCGCTTTATGTAAAAAAAAAGTCCTTTAAATTCTATTATCACTGGCACATCACTTACAGAAATATTTTCTGAGAATAGAAATATCTTACAGAAATCTAACCTTAACATGCAAATATAATATTGATGGAAAGGAAAATAGATAGAGGCAGCCAAGCAGTAATGCTACGCTTGTGAAAGTATTTGAAAAGCAGAATTATGAAAGAAAAAAAAAATCATATAACCTGGGAAATCAAGGACGCACATAACCAATATAATTTAATTTTTTACATTTTTTTTTGCAGGGAAAGCTACCTTCTAAACCCAAACTACAAAATGCACTTCATCACTAGAGCACATCAACATGTATTCTGATAACATAGAGTAAAACAAAAGACACTTGGCATCTGGATGTGTTTCTTAAAGGGACACTCCACTACCCAAATAAAAAAATATATAAAAAAAAACATTTTTTTTGTAGATATACTCCAAATGAAAACTTGCATGTACTTAATTATGCGTTTTTTCATTGGATATATATCTAAAAACAGCTTCCGCAGCCTTTCAAAGCCCTCCCCTTCTAACCCCGCCCAGACTTTCTGTGGCTGTCCAATCACAGACTTCCCAATGCAGCTCAATGAGAAGTCATTGAAAGGCAGGTGCTCTGGGCAATTGCTGCCTCTTGAGTTCAGTGCAAATAAGCTAACCAATAAGCTACATCTCACTCTCTTCCTCACCAGTATTACCTCATATATCCCAAATGCCTTTTGTTCTTGCTCTGTCTATATATATATATATAGACAGAGCAAGAACAAAAGGCACTCGGGATATATGAGAATATTGGAGGAAGAATTGAACTGGTAGAGAACTTAGACCTTGAGTAAATATTGTTAAATAAGCTTTTCAAATGATTTCAACTTTTCAAATATTTGTTTTTCAAATTATGAAATATATAAAATAATATTATAAATAAAAACTATACTGATGGGGGCAGAGCTTAGCTACTGAAGCAGATGGTCACATGATCCTGAAGCTCCGGGCTTCATGCTGCTGAATAACCAATTATTGGAGCCGTTACCCCTACTAGCAGGACTTAGGGGATATCACCTGTCAGGCCAGAAGACATGGGACGCAAATCTAAAAAGCCCAAGTCAGACAGACCAAGCATGGGAATAAATATTGGAGAACTGTGGATGCAGGCACAGGGAGTGAGCAGACCCAAAATGGCCGCCCTCTCAGGAGGCTGCTCAGATTTCCCAGTTGAGCTGTCTGTTGAAGCTGAGGCTGAACACTTACCTACATTCATGAAGCTAACTCCGACAGCACCAGACTCAGCTCTGGTCACCACCGCTGTTCTGAAAGAGCTCATGGCAGACCTAAAAAACACCTTCCAAGCAGATATGGCAACGATCCACGGAGGCCAACAGGGCCTGACAGGTCGCATTGGAGCACTGGAGGAGGTCTCTCACAAAAGCATCCCCAAACTAGCTAAAGCATTGGCCGCTGTCCTGAGGGACCTGGTGGTCCACTTCCAGAATGGAATGGACAAAACGGCAGTCCTTGCTGCCTTCAAGGGGAAATCCCTATACCAATTATAGAGTATGTCCCTAGCTTTCTACCAGGACCTCTCAAGCAGAACTCTGGCCTGGCGAAGGTCCCTCAAGCCCTTCACCTCACTCTTGCAACAAATAAATATAAGCTACCACTGGCGCCTGTCATACACACTCCTTATTATACACAAAGACTCCACTTACTCTCTACAAGATCGCGAAGATGCTGCAGTGCTGCTGCGAGACCTGGGTCTATCACAGGACAGTCTGACCAGTAAAGACCCCGCCACTGCTCCAACACCTCCACATGCCTGGAACCCAGCGAGAATCACTCTGTTCATCCTGCGACAACCCTCATCAGACTCGTATGTGGCAGCCACGACCTGAGAGTAGATCAACATACTTCCTTACCCTAAACGCATATGTTTTGTTTTATCTGGTATTATTTTGCAACTTTAGCTAATTGCAGCTTTATACCTTTAATAACACCCCTTCGTAGTATAGATCGACTGATACAGACACCAGTTCATTTCTCCCCACCCCCTCCCCCCCGCCTCAGGGTCTTATTACCCAGTTCTAACCACCTATCAGACAAGTGAGACGTTACAATCTCCTTTATACACCCATAGCTGGCACCTTACCTGAAAATGCATATGGTTATGTGCTTCAACTCATAATTTATCTTTTTATGTATGCTCTTACTCTCTTTCACTCTACCATACTCACCTTACACACCTTAGCCCTGGAAGGGCAATGTAGGTGCCCGTGGTATAGTAACCTATCCTTGCCTAGCAAATGTGTTACTCTCTGTTCACTGTTCTTATAATAAATGTGCAAGTTTTATAACATATATTTGACTACTCATGTCTTAACTAAATACTCTAAACCGTAGGCTCAACTTATTCAACCTACAATTCTTGAACTCACTATCCTGGAATATCTCTCTCTTATCTTAAAACAAAAATTGTGCCTGAATATCAAATGTCACATCTTGTATTGCATATTGAATTTCTATATACATTGATATCGCCGTTGTGGCGTACTGAGGCTCTGTGTTAATTTGTGCACAACAAAAATAAACAATTAAAATATATATATATACCAATACATACAATAAATATCAAAATATTTTAAAAAGGCTTATATTTTTCATAATATTACATAATTTTCAAAGTTTAAATAAGCTTTTCAAATGAGTTAACGTTTTTGGATAAACTTTTAAAAATATATATATTATATATAAAAAACTATACCAATGCATACAATAAATATCAAAATATTAAAAAAGGCTAATAATGTGCATAACATTAAATCATTTTCAAAGTTTATCCCAAAATATTAAATCATTTGAAAAGCTTATCTAACAATATTAAATCAAGGTCTCAGTGGTTAAAGGTTCTTAAAGAAACACTATTGTATTAGGAATATACTGTAGTATTCCCCTTCCTAACTTTAGTTCCCCCCTCCCTCCTCATAAGCATGGTCACTCTGCACTGGCTTGGTCTCCTCTTCCCAAGGCGTCACTCCGATGGAGGACCTAATGCGCAATGGGTGGCGAGTGCCACATGCGATTATCACTTTCTAAAAGGAAAGAATTGAATTACTGCTTTCCTATGGGGATTTTAAAGATGCTGGACATTCTCATGCAAAGCGTCAAACTCTGTGAGAATCCAGAAAGCGCCCCTTATCCTGGTTGTCTTAACCTTGCAATGTAAACAGTGCAGTTTCTCTCAAACATCAATGTTTTCACTTGCAGCGTTAAGAAGACTGGAGCACTTTGCCCAGATCACTTCAATGAGATGAAATGGTCTGAGTGACTATAGTGTCCATCTACAATGAGTAAAAACAAATATGAGATGAAGTGTTCTTGGTGACTTTAGTGGTCCTTTAAATTTTTGTTGTTTGTGGATATATTTGTCCTTGTATTTAAAGTAAGACTAAATAACCATTTAGCATTGTACATACCTACAACATTCAAGTTGTATAAATTAATCAAAAGTAACAGTATATTTCTTCATTTTACAAGAAATAAAGTAAACATTGCTGCTTTGTCTTCCTTGGATTGATAATTAAAAGCAAATGTAGATGTACAAAAATACTAAGGAAATCCCTAGCATCCGTTGCTAACTGCAACTAACCAGGAGCTCAGATTGGAAGACTATGTATTAATGAATCACTTTTACTGACTCTCACACTCTCGATTTGCTGATGAGAGCTTTAGAAGAGTGGGGAATAGATAGCAGAATTGTGGAAGGGTAATTTAGTAAAGGATTGCCATGTCAGATACATATGGATATTCAAAATATAGTGTCTACAGAATTTTCTGTCTTTATGTCTTGACATGAAGCAAGCAGTCAGATAGGATAATAATTTTTAAAATTAGTAGAATAAATCTTCAATTGGTCATTTTTTTTTATTGTTTTGTTACCTTATATATGTGTGTGTATATATATATATATATATATATATATATATATATACACATACATATCTATATCTATCTATATATATATATTAATTTTACATCACAAATATAGTCTTATTGATTTACAAACTTTCTTACAGTACTGCTATTAGCAAAATGTAGAAAGACATTTTCTTACAAGCACATGTGAACATATCTAATTGTCACTTCCTGGAATGTTTAATATTACATTTTCTTGTGCGCTATTTTCGTATCAAATTTGTATATGTTAGGTCCGCAAATGTAAATTAAATGCATAAATTCAAACATCAGTCCCAAAACAGAGCATCTCCATCTTGGCTCCTTGTCAGTCATTGTTATAAGTTATCTTTTTCTAAAAGAGTTCTCCCCTTACAACTTGCATCAGGTATCCTCACAGAGGCGGAGATAATCAGTGATCTGGATGGAACATTGTAAGTGGAGAAGGGGAAACAGAAATATTTAATACAAATTTTAAAAATGCAAAATATCTCATGAATAAAAGGTTAACATAATTTAAAGGTGATTTTCAGTTTTTTATTAAATAATGCAATTTTAAAAAGTGACAGATCCCCTTTAATTGATATTTATTTGCATGGTCAGTTTTTAAACATGTGTACAATTCATTCAATAAATTGAAGGATGGATTTTCAAAAAGAATATTAGCATCAAAATAGCAATGTAACATTTTTATAGTAAAACTCATTATAAATGGACATGTTTTTTAGTACACTGCTGAATGTTTGGGCATTTAAACCTTGATTTAATATTTTTAGGTATGCTTTTCAAATGATTTATTATTTAGAAAAATATTTTAATATTTATTTACATATATATATATATATATATATATATATATCATTTAACTTAAATGTAACATTAACGCTCATTAGAAGACTTCTGCAATGAAAAACCTATATATATATATATATATTTCTTGACACTAACATTTAAAAAAAAATATTTTGAAAACGTATTCAAATATATAAAAAATCATTTGAAAATGCTTAATTAAAAAATATTAAATTGAGGACTTACTGTGATAAAAGCAGGGTTTTTTTGTGTGTAAATTGTATTATTTGATAATAATCAATGATTAATAATCCAGCAATCGTATCTGAAAAATTTAAAATGTCCATTGGTGCTATTTTTTGTAGAATACTATTTCTAAACTGGCCTTAAATGCCAGGCAGTATCATGTCATCTACACTCTCTGAAAAGGTTCCATTAACAACCTGTAATAATATGACAATTTCCTTTAATAGTTTTCCCAATATATGTTCTAGAGTGACACAAATGCTTCATATTTTAAGATTAATATTTCCTTTCTGCTGCTATCATGTCTTTATTGCCCACTTTTAAAAAAAACATCTGGCACAATGATGGACATCCATACAACCCATTCTGTTATACTGAAGGCATGCTACATTATTTTGTAGTCATTATTTTGGTTAAAGTGCTTATAGAATATATAGGATATAGAATTACAAACCCCAGTAACAACATAACTACATGCTATAAAATATCCAGTGTATTACACCAATTGTGGAGTTGTAGATCTTAAAGGGCACCTGTCATGCTTCCAACAACCTATGCTTGTGAGATTGAGCATAAGATGTTATCTGTACTTTGTGCTGCTAGTATTGCTTGCAAATGTATAGATTAGGAGAAAAACCTATTTAAAAGTAGTTTTTTTCTGCTCTCCTCTCATAGCAACCACAGCACATGCACTGTGGTTGCTATGGAAACTCCCTAGCCAGTGCTTCTAGCACCAGATAAGGAGTATGGGAATGGAGTGACATGAGGTAACTCCGTTTCGACGTTGGCATGCTGGCAACTTAG